TTAATAATGGAATGGGCTACTGGGGGGTTATTTCAACATTGAAATAGGATGTTGACAGCTAATTCTGACAGTGAAATAGAATGCTGAGAGCCTATTCTAACAATAGTGAGTGAGTTTAGCTTTACGCCACTCTCAGTAATATTCCAGCTATATGGCGGTGGTCTGTAAATAATCGAGTCTGGACCAGACAATCCAGTGATCTACATCATGAGCATAGATCTACGCAATTGGGATAGACCAAGTCAGCGAGCCTGACCACCCGATCCCGTTAGTCGCCTCTTACGCCACAATAGAATATGATACTGGCAGCCTATTCTAACTATGGAATAGGACGCTTACGGACTATTCTAAAAGATAAATAGTTTGCTGCGAACATATTCTAACAATTGAATATGACGTTGAGATCCTATTCTAACAATGGAATAAGACGTTGATAGCCTATTCCAACACTGGAATAATACGTTGATAGCCTATTCCAACACTGGAATAAGACGTTGATAGCCTATTCTAACACTGGAATAAGACGTTGATAGCCTATTCTAACACTGGAATAAGACATTGATAGCCTATTCTAACACTGGAATAAGACGTTGATAGCCTATTCTAACACTGGAATAAGAAGTTGATAGCCTATTCTAATAAATGAATATGACGTCGATAGCCTATTCTAACAATGGAATAGCACGTTAATAGCCTATTCCAACAGGATGCAATGAAACAGGATGCTGACAGCCTATCGTGATCAGGAGGCACGGTTCCTCCGAGTTTACTGCTACTTGCAAGTACGATTCTAATTCACGTACAAAGTGTTACATGTATACCACAGTCAATGAACATCAGGACAACATGCTACAATGAAACATCACCTCTGTCATCGCAACCAGCCTTCTGTGGTTTCAAATGAAAAACCAATTACAAAGAACGAGCATGGCGAGAGCGATTGATCGGTGTGTTTTTCTTTCATTTAAACGCGTGGCGAACAAAACGACGCTCGAATGTTACTCTTTACCCATTACCAAGGTGGAGATGGGACTGATTGGTTTGCCATGTCGTAACCAGTTGAACAAACGGAAACCGTCCGCCAGAAATGACGGTCTGATTCCATCACACGCCCATATAGTTCGACAACCAGTAATCATATTGAACAAGGAACCAATATCATCTCACGATTACATGTTCATTTCAAACACTGGTATCAATGTATTGCACCTGTGGTGTGGGAATGTGTATGGCAACTTGTGTTAATGTGTCATTGCGAATGATGTTATTCTTGATCGTACATTCATTCTGTAACTATTAACTTCCTTTCCTCTTTAAGGTCACAGTTGGTAGTATAATATAAATAGTTCACGGTGTATGATGCTCTGTGTTCTTGTAATTCGGTGGTTTACTAAACTACTGGAGTAATGAAAGTACACGTCCGGGTTTTAGTGGCTAAACTCCTGGGTTTTTTTAGCCGCTTTTTAGCAATATTCCAGCAATATCACTGCGGGGACACCAGAAATTGGCTTCACAAATAGTTACTGACGGTGATGTACGAGCCAGCATAATACCCCCTATGGATAAAAGTAACACACTAGTTACTTTGATGTAATTAATACCTTATGGATAACAAATTCTATATTTTATTATGATGCGACGTTTCCGCACAGCTTCTCATACCCTTGTCAAGCAAAAGCAACGGTGATGTATTTGATACGGACATCATAGTGTTTAAATTAGTCTGTCTCAAAGTCCCTGAACCACATAATGTTCCCTACAGCCTAGTCTGTCGTACAGACCCTGAAGCAAATTAACCAAGAAAGCCCACGCAAGTCTAGAAAATGTGGCAAGTCTAGATTTCCTCTCTGAAAATGAAGAAAGTCTCAGGGCTCCTTTTCATTATATTATATTTTTTTTAAATATGAACATTTTTCAGTAAAATATGTTCATTTCAGAGACTAGTTGTTAGTCTACCTACAGCCTTACCCTGCCTGCAATGCTTAAGCCCCAAATGATACTACTCTAGATTTCCCCAGGTTCTGAATCTCTGGTCTCCCTGGGATTCCCTTTCAAATTAATGGGTATATTTCGTACAATCAAAATTATATATATGCAGAGACTAAGCGTTAGTCTATGTTTAAATAACAGTGTTCCGGTAACAGTTTTCTGCCTCGTAATGTTTTCATATCGTTTGCGAAAGAATTGTAATATCTTTTCGAAAAATTCAATTTGGAAGGATATACTTTCGTTGCCCAGCAGTGTATTAACCGCAGTTAAAGGCTATTATTAATGTATGGTACTTAAGTGCCAATACGGGGCTTGTGGAAATGCCCTAAACGTCATATGAACTCAATAAAATATCCATTCTCCTCGTGACGAGACTGTTTCACATGTCAGGTTCATCTTGGTTGTTAAGTTTTGTATTACATTGAGGTTGAGTTTACACCAACTGGAACATCCATTAAGTATGGTTAGACTGATGTGGTCATGAGCCGAGAAAAACAGTTTGATGTCTTGCATCAAGTCTACGAGTTGGTAAGAGTCCTCTCAGAACTCTCTTAGTTACAAGCAAACCTGACATTGTAACACAAGTTACATTTGGAATTACACTCTGTCAGTAAAGTACACATTCTAGTATTTTTGTTTGGTTGAGTCCCATCCGGGTTTGGAACCCACATCCTAAGTGAGTGAGTGAGTGAGTTTAGTTTTACGCCGCGTTTAGCAATATTCCAGCAATATCACGGCGGGGGACACCAGAAACCTAAGAGTCAGACACCTAGTCAGTGTAATCCTAAATATGACATGTGTTGCATTTGACCACTTTCTAAATGGCATAGTGTATTTTCAAAACCTGACATTTTTGTGAACGGTTGGCAAATTTTTTCATGTTTTGTATAAATGCCTATGAAGTATTATAAATGCATTAAAGCTGTTGGACCTGTTGTGTGTTTGATTCACATAAGGTGTAAGTCCTTTAACTGATATAGAAAATTTTCGTGAAGTAATATGACTGTATTTAAACTGTGTGTCAAGTTGCGAGTGTGTTTCATTTATATTTTTTTCCTTACTATAAAGAAGTTTTTATGAAGAAATTTAATTGCATCATGCCTGTTTGACAAGTTGCATGTTTGATCCACAGACAAGACAAGTCTTATACTCCACATGCAGACCTGAGATCTTCCACAGGGTAAAATAAAGGCATTACGACAGTTTGACAGGTAGATTGTTTAATTCATATAGAAGGACGTCTCTCCCGTGTCATATAGATCCTCAAGAACGGAATGTTATCGCATTTCAACTCTAACACGTTGTATATTTGCTTTGTGAATATCGCCAATCTTAGACTCCCCATTCAGAACATAACACCTTTTGACAACTTATATGTAAGAGTATTTGTTTGATTCACAGAGAAAGGCGAGGCTAATACTCCAGGTACAGACAACATAACGCCATTAACAATGTTTGACACGTTGTGTGTTTGACTCATGTACAAGCTCTGTCTTGTACCTACCGTTTGACAACTCGTGTTTGATTCATATATAATGTACATCGTTTAAATAACATGTCAAAGTTTCATTAAATAAAGCAACTGCCTTAAAACTAATTGACAAGTTATGGGTTTGTTTCAGGCACAATATTCGTCTTTCACCAAACAGAACTTTCTCAGAGTAAGATAACTGCATTGAAATTGCCCGTTTGCTTCAGCAATGCATGACATATTTTATTCATGTAGAACTTTCTTGAAGTAAGATAACTGCTCTAAAGCTGTACGTTTGCTCTAGATGATGTATGACTTATTGTGCTCATGTAGATCTTCCTTGAAGTAAGATAACTAGAGTACAGGTAATCAGATATATTTGACAAATAAGATGTCAGCCTCACACGAACCATACACGAAGTAATGGTGATGTGTGAGGCCTTCTGTACATTAGGCTTTCACAAACCTCCAAGCCGCTGAGGATTTTACGCTATGCTACAGCACAGAAACATAACTGTATTGCCGCGCAATAAAGTGAGTATAGACATACTCCGCTTTTTTTGTTGCAGTATTCCAACTTTATCACGGGGGGACACACCAGATGAGCTTGACACATTGTACCCATGTGGGAATCGAACGCGGGTCTTCAGCGAGACAAGCTAACGCTTTATCCACTAGGCCACCCTACCGTGATGCCGCTCAATAGAAGAAATTGCCGTGGATTAAAAGTGTGAATTAATGCATAACGTTTCCACATGGGTACAATATGTGAAGCCAATTTCTGTTGTCCCCGTCTACACTATTGCTTAAAGTGGCGTAAAACCATACTCACTCACGTGAGTTAAAAATCACCAAATACTTCCCATGATCATGAGTGAGTGAGTAAATATTTAACGTCACAGCGGCAATAAGTCAGCCATGACGACGACCAATGTCATAAGCAATCTCTGCTAAAAGCTAAAACCATTAAATGACGAGTGAATCATAAGCATGTGTTTACGATTCACTATCACAGAATTAAGACACATAGTGTCCAAAAATGTGAGTGTACCCCGTCCCTCTAATAACACCCGTCCTGGTAGCAAATAAGCAATGTACCAAAATTGCAATGTAGCTATACATATCAGTTCAAATGTAACCAATATGATGTGTAACCAATAGGCAATGTAACCAATTAGCTTTGTAACTAATTCCGATTACACCGCCTGATGCATCACGTCAGACGCAGACACTCAATCAAATTTGAAATATTTATTACACGTCGCAAACAATAGTTCAGAAAGTTGTGATCGGCGAACGGTTTTTATCACAGCGTTGCTTAAAGAAGTTTTTCATATAATGCAAATTTATTCGTATTATGTACACACAAAAAACATAGAAAAAGTGACAAAAGTAAAGTCAAGAAGCTTACCTTCATTAATCACTGTCAGATGCGTGGAACTAGTCTGTCACAAAAAACAAACAACACACGCCAGCAATTCATACAAAAACGGACATGAAGCATCACTGTTCCATACCAACTCAGAACACAGAGACTTACCTGCAACCATTGACGCGTGGATCATCAGGAGAAAGGCACAAGTTGCTATATTTCCAATAAGCGAAGACATCGTGAATAGATAGAGTAGCACGAATCCAAAACTACCGCGATCAATCCAGCTACAATTCTCTGCGGGTCCTCTCCGCGACCAATCTGTTGGTTGCACTAACAACAGCTCTGCTCGACAGGGGGCGACACTCTTCAGTCCTCGCTCATGTCGGCGACTTCCGCCGAGCTCCGTGCAGCGACGTCAACATTGCGGAGTTTACCGAGTCAACAGGTAAATACAATTGAACAGAGCGTTTTTGTACGCGGCTATTTCATTTCTCAATAAACGCATTGAGAAGGGAACGTAGTCTGTCGCTTTGGGCTGTGTGAGTCTAGATTTGCTTTATTTAGCTTCATCGTATTGCAGTATCTAGTGCGCTTTCACAATTAACGTGATTGAAACGGGATCGAAATGAAGTATCATATTAAACGAAATGGTATTCCAAAGTTGGGTTAGTAATCTCAATATCACCAAACCCCGATAACAACTGTAATTAGACCACAGTTATCGATCTTTAGGCTAAGAAGTGGGCAGCAATTGGAAATCGACATGAATCGTTTCGTAGCTAAAAGGGAAAATACTCGTTAGATTGGTTTAAGCCATTCCGATCTACAAATTAATAATGCAAATGAGCTTATACTGAAAGCCCAAGTGAGTTTATTATGTAACTAGACCATCAAAAATGGTTATTCATAAGCAGTTATCAATCATAATGAACAGAGCGATCCGGAATCAAAATCGGAGTTCTTCTCACTACAGTATTCAAAACAATTTACATTGGAATAACGACTAGCATGGGAGTTTAAGTCTCGTGGTGATGGATGGAGATGTGTCAGTGTGGAGTGAAGTTTTCTTCATTAATAAATCCAATAACTGCATGTTTACATATTTTGATATAAAATACGGGAAATAAAACCATAATGTCGCTAAGAGGGGATCATGCCGCAAGTGTCCTAATTATCTGGAGGTGTATTTAAGGGGCGGGATATTTAGTATCCATATTGCAAGGTGTAATACGTATCGATTTTATAGTCTCGGTGACTCTTGGTGTGATTTCTGTGTGGACTGACATCCAAATGCCTGCCCTCGTCCTCTCTCTGTCTGCTCTCTCTCTCTCTCTCTCTCTCTGTCTCTCTCTCTCTCTCTCTCTCTGTCTGTCTCTCTCTCTCTCTCTCTCTCTCTCTCTCTCTCTCTCTCTCTCTCTCTCTCTCTCTCTCTCTCTCTCTCTCTCTCTCTCTCTCTCTCTCTCTCTCCTCTCTCTCTCTCTCTCCTCTCTCCTCTCTCCCTCTCTCCCACATACTCACACTCTCACTCTCTCTTGCAGTCTCACCATTTCGTTTCTGCCATCCTCCTCTCTCTGTCTGCCTCTCTCCTTCTCTCTCTCTCTCTTCTCTCTCTCTCTCTCTCTCTCTCTCTCTCTCTCCCTCTCTCTCTCTCCTCTCTCTCTCCCTCATGCTCTCCCTCCTTCTCCCTCTCCCTCCTCTCCCACATACTCACTCTCTCACACTCTCTCTCTCTTGCTCTGCCTCACCATTCGTTTCTGCCATCCTCCTCTCTCTGTCTCTCTCTCTCTCTCTCTCTCTCTCTCTCTCTCTCTCTCTCTCTCTCTCTCTCTCTCTCTCTCTCTGCTCTCTCCTCTCTCTCTCTCTCTCTCCCTCACATCTCTCCTCACTCCTCACACTCTCTCTCTCTCTGCAGTCTCACCATTTCGTTTCTGCCATCCTCCTCTCTCTCTCTGTCTGCCTCTCTCTCTCTCATGCCCTCTCTCTCTTCTCTCCTCTCTTGCTCTCTCCCCTTCTCCCTCTCCCCCTCCCTCACACATACTCACACTCTCACTCTCTCTCTTGCAGTCTCACCATTTCGTTTCTGCCATCCTCCTCTCTCTCAGTTTCTCATCACCCAATCTCCGGCAGCTATATGTATCCCTCTCTGTTCCTAGACCCGTCTGTCTGTCTGCCATCCCCTCTCTCTCTCTTTCTCTCTCTCTCTTTCTCTCTCATTTCCTCTTACTCGCCCCTCCTACCATCGTCTCTCTTTTACTTTCTTACTGACAAATTACATGCATATACATCCGTGAAGAATTGATCTTCAGTAATCCATGCATGTCGTAACTAACGGAATCGGCTGGTCAGGCTCGCTAACTGGGTTGACACGTCATTGTATCCCAATTGCTCATGCTGTTGATCACTGGATTTTCTGGTCCAGACTCGAATATTTACAGACCGCCGCCATATAGCTGGAACATTGCTGAGTACGGCGTTAAACAACAAACAAACAACCTCTACAAGTGGGGATGAAGGTCGTTATCTTGAGATGTGAGGCGACGGAACAGGGACGGTGCTGTAAAATATACCTCCTTTAAGTGGTATTTAGAACCTGGTATGATGAAGAGGAACACTCTTTTGGATAGACAACTTCTTTAGTGCAACAGATGCGGCGTTGCGGTGTAGATCCCAACATGTGCTTGGATAACGGTGTTAGGATCTGCACCGAAACGTCGCATCTGTTGCAACAAAGAAGTTGTCTATCCATAAACAAGTGTTCCTCTTGTAAATTATACGCACAACCTCCGATAGCTTCGATAACAGTTTAATAAATAGATGAAACGATCCTTACATAAACAACCATTCGAAAAAAGTATGCACCTAGAAATTGATTTGACCAAAATAGAGGTTAAAAAATATGGATGTCAACTTCGTAGGATGAAGAACAGAACGGTGATCACGTGATGATGGAGTAAGACTATACTCCGAAATGCCGTGCTCCTCACATTACAAAGTGACATCTATAGAATTTTACGTTTATGTGTATCACTTCTAAATGCCATTTAAGATTTGACCCAAATTCACTTAACGTCTCTGGCGGATTACAACATCTGCAATGCAGCAAGCTAGGGTATACAAAGTCCACTACATAGCGTGTCCAGTATCTCAAAATCTGCAATGCAGCAAGCTAGGGTATACAAAGTCCACTACATACCGTGTCCAGTATCTCAAAATCTGCAATGCAGCAAGCTAGGGTATACAAAGTCCACTACATACCGTGTCCAATATCTCAAAATCTGCAATACATCAAGCTAGGGTATACAAAGTCCACTACATACCGTGCCCAGTATCTCAAAATCTGCAATGCAGCAAGCTAGGGTATACAAAGTCCACTACATACCGTGCCCAGTATCTCAAAATCTGCAATGCAGCAAGCTAGGGTATACAAAGTCCACTACATATCGTGCCCAGTATCTCAAAATCTGCAATGCAGCAAGCTAGGGTATACAAAGTCCACTACATATCGTGCCCAGTATCTCAAAATCTGCAATGCAGCAAGCTAGGGTATACAAAGTCCACTACATATCGTGTCCAGTATCTCAAAATCTGCAATGCAGCAAGCTAGGGTATACAAAGTCCACTACATACCGTGTCCAATATCTCAAAATCTGCAATACATCAAGCTAGGGTATACAAAGTCCACTACATACCGTGCCCAGTATCTCAAAATCTGCAATGCAGCAAGCTAGGGTATACAAAGTCCACTACATATCGTGCCCAGTATCTCAAAATCTGCAATGCAGCAAGCTAGGTATATACAAAGTCCACTACATATCGTGCCCAGTATCTCAAAAATCTGCAATGCAGCAAGCTAGGGTATACAAAGTCCACTACATATCGTGTCCAGTATCTCAAAATCTGCAATGCAGCAAGCTAGGGTATACAAAGTCCACTACATACCGTGTCCAATGCTCAAAAATCTGCAATACATCAAGCTAGGGTATACAAAGTCCACTACATATCGTGCCCAGTATCTCAAAATCTGCAATGCAGCAAGCTAGGGTATACAAAGTCCACTACATACCGTGGCCAGTATCTCAAAATCTGCAATGCAGCAAGCTAGGGTATACAAAGTCCACTACATACCGTGTCCAGTATCTCAAAATCTGCAATGCAGCAAGCTAGGGTATACAAAGTCCACTACATACCGTGGCCAGTATCTCAAAATCTGCAATGCAGCAAGCTAGGGTATACAAAGTCCACTACATACCGTGTCCAGTATCTCAAAATCTGCAATGCAGCAAGCTAGGGTATACAAAGTCCACTACATATCGTGTCCAGTATCTCAAAATCTGCAATACAGCAAGCTAGGGTATACAAAGTCCACTACATACCGTGCCCAGTATCTCAAAATCTGCAATGCAGCAAGCTAGGGTATACAAAGTCCACTACATATCGTGTCCAGTATCTCAAAATCAAGTAACCATTTCTTGCTCCTTTCATTTCAGCCAAGTGTGTATACTTTTTTTCGGCCGTAAGTATAGATACTATCGCTACTTTGCTATAAATCAAGATGACAATCATATTGTTCAACTGCTTACACAGTCATTAACCCCGATGTCCACCGAACAAAGTGCTTAATCCTACAAGCCTAATTTGTAAATAAGGTTCATTGTCGTTCGACCCATAGTGCAACATCGATACAATCCGTCTAACATGCTGCTCCGTTTACTCCTTGTAAAGCGAGAGTACAGCGATTTGACGAGCAACGGAAAACTATTATTAAAAGTGAATTAGCTTCACTCTGTTTAATCCCACCCGCGGTGCCGTCTCTTATCAGCGCCCGGGGGTAGGGGACGTGGAAGGGGGCAGGGAGACATGGTATTATGTACACAGGTGAAGGTTGGCTTTGTCGGGGTTAAACCAACACTCGACTCGCCACAATAGGACAATGCGAGACAATGGGCTGCGGAAATTGATCCGTTCTGAAATCAAGCAAGTCAAAAGAGTCAATAAAACAAGAACAAATAAATGAACCCCACCTTAAGAGATTTTAATCTTTGTTAGAAATGAAGTGTTTAATTGACTTCGAAATGAACAGGTTTTGTTTGTTCGACACACACGAGTGTTAATGTTTCCCGGGCTTGCTCGATGAAGTCGGCCACTAAGATTCATCCTTCTCTTCATTTGAGAAACACACAGTCGTGTTACAATTCCAGGCTTTGTGTCAATTGGAATGTGTTTAATGTGCTAAATTTCGAGCGTGGCTGTCTTCTTTTGCGGTGTAATTGCCGCCAGTAAAGCATGGTATATTTGTGTTCCCAGCGCCTCTAT